AAGTTTCAACGTACCTCAAATTGCTTCCAACCTTACCCTGAATGATCCGATAATGCCGACGAGTCACAATCTACATATATGAACTCACATAATTCAATAACGAGTCACGACAATACCTACAGACCCAACTAAGTGTCTAACACTTTAAGCCTAATTTCATAAGTTTAGCAAACATTCCCATTTCATCATTTGAAGGTAAATCCTTGAATTTTAACTCCAAATCCTTCGTTAAACATATCATGGGATCTATTCGTTCCATTAGAAGCTCGAAATAACATCGTTCAAACAAGACCCAACACTATTTATCATCCATACCAACCAACTCTTCTAGGGTTCCATAAATAGATGTTTAAATATAAATCTATCTTCATAAATATACTCTACTAAGCCCATGGAGTATAGTACCTAAGTTCGGAGTGAAGAGATTACCTCTTTGTCAAACCCTAGAATTTCAAGATTTGAGTTCTTGAAGTGAGAAGTGACCTTGAGATTTTCTTCAAAGATCTATAAATTCCATGATGTTGGAGGGTTAAGAGATGTAATAAACGAACCAAATCTACCAAAGAAGGGCATTTAATTCTTACCTTGAAGGTGAATTAATGGTATAGAACTCATTTCTCTCTCTAAGCCTTCAAAGACAATGACCCAAATAACAGAGCAATCCCAACCCGTAATTGTCTTTAAAAAGGCTCCAGCTATTGGCTTAAATTTTCGGATGCCAACTTGCACACGTTAGCCGCACTTCACTGCCTAGCATGCTGGACTTCAAATCCTTTGGATGCTATGTGCATGCGACGCACTAAAGGAGGAATCACTGGTACGTATCCTTTGTCCCTTTCTTTCTATGTCAATTCAATGCCTTGGCTTTCTTTCTATTTTTCAATTAAATAATAAGACCCAATTGAATAATATTTTGACTTAATTTCAACAGGTTCCACCAACTTATCATTAAAAAAATGATTATCTACTTATTCCTAAAGTTCCAAGCATCCATTCTTTGTAATGTAGGTTAATTCATGACCCATCCTTCAAGAGTTAAGATTTCCAAGCTCACATTAGTCCGATTAATTATAGAAATTCGTAGGGCTTTATAAGGTTAATGTTCAAAATGGGAATAATGTGAAACGTGAGTTATGAAATGTGGTAATTGTGGCCCCAAGTGTCGGTGAACTAATACATGTGGAACCAAAAATTAAAGTGAGAATGATCAACGGAAAAGAGTAACGTCTTGGTAAGACGGCTTAGCCGATCGGGCCGTGATCGGACGCCATGTTATGCACACATGGTGGTAATGTATTGATAATTGAAACTAGAAAGTGAGAATGAAATAAGGGTAACGTCTTGGTAAGACGGCTTAGCCGATCGGGCCGTGATCGGACTCCGCTCAAAGAAGCGGTGGTAATGTGGATGATGATGCAATGATATGGAATGCCCTAATCTAAAATTTCAGAAATTATGTGAAAACTATGTGAACCTCTTATATTGTTGACGTGGTGCTTATTTGAAGCTTTGTTGTCCTTATGAATTCTTTTACTCTTGTATGGTTGTTCTTTCTAATTGGATGGTGTTTAGTTATACATACTAGTGCTATTCAATGGCACTAACGCCCCTTTTGCCGGGAGCGCTACGTCTTTAAATGGATGTAGGTGTTTCTATAGTAGGCAGTGTTGGTCGCAGCTAGTGTTGCATCATCCTTTCAGCTGACTTGTGAGCCCCACTTCGTTTCGGGGTCCTGTTTCATCTGTATATCATGTACTTTGTATTTAAGGTATAGCCAGAGCCTTGTTGCCAGCATTTCCATATTATTCTTCAGTTGTATTTAGAGGCTCCGTAGACAGGTTGTGGGTAGTGTCGGATATTGAAATTAAAGTAGAAATACTGATGTTTTGCAATGATGTATAAAACTTGTAATATCTTCAAAATTGTGAATGAAGTTATTAATGGAAATGAAATGGAATTGTTAATGACATGTTTTTAGAATTTGATTAATGGTGTACATTTCCTCTTTATTCAAAGATGTATTTGGGTAATATGAAACCTAACAGGCTTGCTCAGTCGGGTTTACTCAGTTGAGTGTCGGTCGCGCTCCTCGGATTTTGGGGCGTGACATTTGCCAACTGCTCCTCCACAGATGAAGTATTTGTCACCATGGCTTTCATGATTGTTGTGGACGATGGGGGGTAGCATGGATTGTCACACAAATTGATTCTCAAATGGCTCACGCTATGCGGTGTAAGTGGAGAGGATCTATCACTTGAAGCATCATCATCTCCCTTCATAGCAGAGTTCTTGGATCTGGAGAGGTCAAGCAGAGCAAGAGTTTTCTTAATCTTTTCAGCAACATCGCTTCCTCCTTCAGGTGCGTTTGTGGCAGATCTTGCTCCTTTTGAGGATGAAGATCCGAAAACAGGGGTTGACGCGGACGACACTTGAGGTGTTTGTTGTCCTAAGGAGCTTGTTTTGCTCTTCGTAACCGGTCCAAAGTTTCCAAAGATAACATCGAGGATGCTTTCCACATTAGCATAGAACTTAGAATTAGCAGCATTGGTGGAAGTTGAACTAGAGTTGATTTTCTTTGAAGCCATTTCAATGTTTTTGAACTTTGATGATTGAAAAGTTGAGATGAGAGGTAGAGATTGTCACACTGGGCATGCCAGAATTTGTAGACAATAAATTTGCGTCGAGAAAATAAAATCAAGACCGAAAAAAATCGCAATAATCGTAGTATTTAATTTTAAATATTTGAGTATTACAATCTCTATGAATCCTCTGATTTTTCTTTTCAATAGTAAATAAATTCAAGGGCTTTTGAGCTTGATCTTGAATATGTAGTTGTTGCCACGAACGATGATCTTGTTCTTGAGCTTTAGCTTGATTGCTTGAACTTGACCTTGATTTGTTCTTCGTTTTGAGCTTGAACTTGATTGCTTGAAGCTTGAAACTTGTAGAGAAATTTGTAGCGTTTAATCCATGAGCTCTCTCTTGCTTCTTGTTATAACTTCGGGTGTCTTTTTTGAGTTATGAAGACTCCTATTTATAGTTGTGGGAGGGAAGAGTTATGATAAGAACAATTTCTTTCCGACCAATCAGATTGAAGAGTGACAAGACCTCATTTGATTGGCCAGAACATGTTACTTGTACATGTGGCGCGAATTTATTGGCCTTTTAATTTGACTTGGCATGCCTTGTCATTTTGACACGTGGCATGATCCTATTAGCCTTTTCATTTGACTTGTCGTGCCACGTCATTTGACATGTGGCACCAATCTGGCCCTCGAGGAAGATGAAATTTTGGGCCTAATGAGGTGGGCTCATCATTTGTAGCCCAATTAAGTGGACTAGCCCAATAGATTCGGACTTAATTTATTAATCTATATATATTAGACTTATATAGTTAGACCAATTATATTAGCCCAATAAATTTATTTGAACTAATATATCTTGAATTTAAAATATAGTCCAAATTATTTTTATAGATTTAAGGGAATAAATTTATATGCCTACAATTAGTTCAGAATGAGTGATAATATATATTACTATAGGTCTCCATTTTTTAATATTTTATATTATTTGTATATATAATTTGAGTTAAAAATAATGAATTTAACTGAACCTAACACACTACGTCATCGCCTATCTTATTCTTATATCCGTTTCTACATGTATCCCTTATAATTTAACTCATACTATGCACGGCTTCCGTCGATCCAATGTAGAAATAGTAATTAATTTAATCTGCTACTCACAAGTTGGACTTGTTAAAGTGTGATGAAAGAACACTTAGTTATTTGAGACGTATAATCTTATATTACAATGCCTGATGCATGAATAACCAATTTCCGAGTTATAGGACATCGCATTTTCAATGTGATGGTTGTGGTTTTAGAGTCGGCCCTAAAAGAGTATAGTCAATTTATTCTATTCTAAACTCTAGCATGTTTGGATTCCGTTTTCTTGATTTAGTCAGAGTTTTAAATTAATTTCACAAACATATAATTAGTATTTGAATACTTAAGAACGTGGTGATGACTGCTCAAAATGATTGTAGGACATGGGCGGCTCAAGCACTTGTGTGACTCATAGCCAAAGTAATGTGGGGCCTAAATTTTTAAAAGAATGTTATGCTATATATATTTTCATTTAAAGCCTATTTTTCTAGTTTTTTGAGATGCAAAGTTGCTAATAATTTTTTTTATAATCGATTTCTTCTAATAATTCATATTCAATTCAAACATTGTCGATCTTAGGTAAAATTTTATCATAATTTTTAAAAACATATTTTCGTTTGATGTAACTTTTATAAAAAAAAACTCTACTTTTGTACTAAAAGTACTAATTTTTTTTAAAATATCTATAAATTTATTATTTCTAAAAATGGGGGCCTCTTTAATTCGGGGCATAAGGCACAAGCTTTACTTGTGATAACCCGGCCCTGTTTTAGGATTGTGGTCTTAAAAACAAATGAGATATGTATAATCTACAACATATTAGAAAAGTTCATATCATTCAGAATTGAAAACAGAAGAACATGTTTTCAATTTCACTTCTCACTATAATATCTAGTTTGAGCATTATTGTCTTCCAATTATCAAAATTTCCAATGGCTTTAATTAAGGAAAGAGGAGGAAATACTAGACACTTATAGTTAATGGGTTTAGTTACATAAACACCCTTTGTAATTTAAATCCTAACCACTAATCTTCCTTGTAGTTTTAAATATTACAATTACATGATTCTTATTTTGTAAAAGGCTAGTAGCAATTGATCAATAATGAGATATATACAAACAAAAGAGCTTCATTTAATTTCCACTTAGTTAAACAAATGCATTTTTTTCTATAATACAACAAAGAAATGTTTAATCAATTGTCATTTAATCAAATTTGATTAACTTAGATGTCACATAATTTAGAAGAAAATAAATCATTTTATATTGTTAGAAAAAATTAATTTGCTAAATAAAATAAAAAAGAACCTAGACAAATTATGCTAACTAGAAAGATATTATTAGTGGTAGGAGTAGGAGAGTGGATAATTATGAACTAGTCCACTGCTTCCAAATTAATAGTCGTTCCAATAGGAGCAAAGAAGAAGAAGAAGAAGAAGAAAAACTGTGCTGGGATTTGATAGAATCAGTGTTGGGATTGAGCTGAAGAAAAAAAGGGAAATGGCAAATTTGTATGTAAAGGCAGTGCCACCGGCGGATCTGAACCGGAATACAGACTGGTTTATGTACCCAGGAGTATGGACCACCTATATACTCATCCTCTTCTTCTCATGGCTTCTTGTTCTTTCCCTTTTTGGCTGCTCTCCTGGCATCGCCTGGACCGTCGTCAATCTCGGTCACTTTCTTGTATGTTCCTCTTTTAACCTAACCTACCTACTTCCAGTTATTATGTCTTTCATTTGGGTTTAAGGATTTAATCTATCTTTCATAATTTGGATTGTTTCGTGATATCGAGTGGATTAAGATTAATCCTCTTGCGGCTTCGATTGTAGACGTCTCCGTTTTTCATTTGGTTTCTTTTACCCTTGTGTTATTGGAGTAATCGTTTCTGATTCCTTTATGATAAATATTTAATATTGATTGCCTGGTGAAATTGATTGATCTCATATTCACCCATGTTACAGTTTTGATTTATATGCGTCTGTTTTTCATTTGTATTCTAGAGTTTTTGGTCGGAGTCCTGAGAATTTGGATATTTTTTGGCAAAATTGCTTGGTTTAAGATTGGCCCAAATTGTTTCCAATTCGGAATTTGTGAGCTAGAGTGCTAGGTTTTTAAGTTCCTAGTGAATCAAGGATTCTCTCTGGAATAAAAGGTTAATGAAAGGAAGCAAAATATAGTTGAAGTAAAGGGTGTACTACATGATGGAATCAAGATCTGTTGTCAATCGTCAATCGTCAATCATCCAATTTACAAATTCCTCCTGATTTATTTCTAAAGAGAATGCGTGGGCTTGAATTTGCTTAGTTAGTCCAGAATTTTCACTGGAGATAAAGATTTAGGGGCTGTGCAGTTTTTGCTTTCTTTGTCTGTAAATCATTTGCATTCTCTTAAACTATACCTTTCTTGTTTCTACTTTGTACTGCTAGTATGAAGTTTAATGGGGAAAGTATACAGTCAACGTCTTGGAAATTAAAATGACCAAAGTCCAGTTAGCTTTCTCATAAGTTCTTAGGCGTTGAAAGAAAATATCGTACATCTTCCCCTTGTCAATGTCAAAGCCATAATGGCAAGCATGATTAAGTAGCCTTTGGTGCAAATTATTGAGTGAAAGGTTGCTTGCTGCAGATGCATCTGTTGCTTCTCCAATGTGGCCACTGCCATGGCCTTTATAGATATAATCAGGGTTTAAATGATAGCATGCTAAGCTGCAGATGTTACTTACTAGGTTGTTTGGCCTTGGAATACTGTCGCAATGACTACTTATGAGGTTTCCCTTCCCTGCCCCTTTCCGGGCTTGCCTCCACAAATTAAAAGAGCCTCTCATACCCTCGTTGCCTCATCCAAGCATGGCTTCCCCTCGACAGGTAACCAGAGGGTCAGAAGATGCTTATACAGAGGCACTTTGGAGTTATCAAAAATCTTCAATTATCTTCTCTTCTATGTTTAAAAAAAAAAAAAAAGTTAGCAAAATCTTCAAGATATTAATATATATTATTGAAGCCAATTTAGCTCAAAATATCAGAACCCATTTGGAGAATCACCAATTACATTCCTTCCGATGACATTGAAGGGTTTGTACCTATCTCTTAGGCGTCCTAAAGATTTCAGTTATAAGTAATCACGAATGGATTGATGAGGATGAGCATTTGAATTTTATATTTGAAGTCTCAGGCTTTTGCTTGGGAGCTATCAAACTGGATTGGCATTGGATTTGGTCCATTTTCTTGAGCTACTTGTAAAATGTTGCTTGAGCTACGGTAGGGTTTCCTTATGAACTTATTTGTCTATGATTTGGTCTAATTCAGTATTTCTAATTTAGTTATTGATGATCTTGCATTATTCTGATCTTTATCTTTTATAATATGTAATACTTGAGGTTGGTTGCACTCAATCTGTACTTGGGTAAAATCCATTTGCTGCACAAATGATCATGTTTTTATGAAAGTCTGATCCTGTTATTTGCAGAAAACTAGATGAAGATAAGTCTAGATCACCAACTTTCCTTTGGGTCATACAGTCTTCATTAAGATGAAAGTTTCACGTTCTTGATCTGGGTCCTCGTTTTCAAATATAGCATAATCCCATTGACCAATGTTGTGAAGAGCGTGAAGCGAGGAAAAGCGACAACCCCGATTTCACGAAAAGCGAGAAGCGAAGCGCTCGCTTTTTTTAAGTGAAGCGGAATTTTTTAAAAAAAAAATTAAAATGGACACTGCATAGATATCACATGTAATTCTAAGCAAATGTTCAATACTTCAATTAAAAAACTTAAGAGTAGCATCAATTAAAGCACAAAATCAGCATCCTATTCTTCTACAAGATTGTCAAATTCTTGTATTCCACTATCATTATTATATTGCTCGTCATCTTCTTCAACTTCATTGGGCAGAAATTTAGGGAAGAAATTGGGCAGAAACTGGGCAGAATTTTCATTCTTGGGCCTTGGGGTTTGCTCCCTTTCAAGGTCTCAAGTTCGAAACCCACTGGGTGCAAATAATTTCTGAGGGCCATCGGACTGGGTAAAACCTGAATTAACCGTGGTACACTTGCGGGAAACTCCTTGCCGAGGGTCTGTGCACCCCGGGATTAGTCGGGGCTCTTAGAGACTCGGACACCCGGTGCAAATCAAAAAAAAAAAAAAAAAAGACGACTCTCTTTCAATAGAATTGATCGATTATATTGAACATTAAA